TCTATACTGCTTTCTGTATGTAAAACTTGATCATGGTGTAACATTTTTCTTCCTATAAAATAAATCTTAGATTGGTAAGCAGAGCTTGAGACAAGAGCTTTTACAAAGCTGATCGTAGGGATAGGATTGGATAATGGGCCATATAAAGCAGGAATGTAAAAACCAGTGTCATGGTACACACTCCAGCTAGTCAAACAGTAGATAAATGAGGCTCATTTTTTTTTCTTTTGAGGGTTTTATCTAGAATAAGCCTTAAAATGATACACCAGAAAGGCAGAAGAGAGTTTTTCTTTGGCCTTGGTCACTTATTGTTCACGTGGGACTTTCTCACACTTCAAAGACACACATAATTAAATGATAGACAGATTGTGAAGGAAGTCCAGGAAGTAAAGGGAAATACAAATGAACAAGGGAGTCAAGGTACAGTTAGTTACAACTGTGAGCAGCTGCTTTCTGAGGAAGAGATGAGGTCAAATGTTGGCAGGTTAAGCAAGGCAGGCACAGCAATGTATACATCCAGAGGTATAAGTGATTTATCCTGTCATCTAATCAGTGTCTTCAAAACTGAATATGGAGGAGAAAGCACCAATTATATCCCATATTTTCTTTAATGACTAATACTTTTTATTCAGAAGTTGTCAAATTTTTCCAAGCATTTGTTAATGATATAATTATGTAACATGTGAAAAATAAAACAGTATATCTGACTAATCTTTACTCCTTTACCCTACATTGCATATTAGCAGTTTTTGTTTGGATTTGGATATCAATTAGATCATGTTTGGGAATTATCTATGCTTTGTTGGTATGTTTAAATATAATTCAACATGGACTTCAATTTCTATGAAGCACAGTAAAAATGTTGGTCTTTATTTCCTTTATTAAGTACAACCATATACCATGGACATGAAAAAAGGGAGAAAAAATGCTAGCAGCTACAGACCTACAGACTTACCCTAAAAAATAAGTAAAGGAACTTCTCTGAACTGACAGGAGAAGAAACAGGAATTCAAAAATACCAAAAAAGAAAGAAAGAAGAGTAAGCAGAAATAGGGGTAAATATCATAGGTTTTCTTGTCATCTTGGGTTTTATCAAATATATTTGCAAGTTGAATAAAAATATATAACACTGATGCAATTGTAAGTGTATGTTGGGGAAATATTTGGTATATGTATAATATAAAGAAAGGAGACGGAAGCAAGCTAAAGATAGGTAAAATTTCTACAGTCCTTCAAATTGGCAAAATTCCATACAATTTGCTTTGATAATATTTGAATCAGTAAATAAATACACAAAGGTACACACTAAAACAATTCAACAATTAAATAATTCAAAATGTAAATATACAAAAATATTCAAATAGCATACAAGAAGTTAGGAAAAAGAAAACAGAAAAGTACAAAGAGAGTGAATAGGGAAAAAATCCCAGAAAGTTCCATGTGTAAGTCTTATATTATTTCTCTATTGTCATGGCTTAGAACAACACAGACTTATTATCTTATATTTCTTTGAAGACATAATTAATGCAACTAAAATGAGAAATAAATTCAGAGTAAAATTTGTAAAATCCTTCTATCAATAATTGATAGAAGACTAAATAATCGATAGAATGAATAAATGATGAGGGATAGAGAGAAAGTCATGAACACCATTAACTCACATGATCTAACCAAGATTTTTAGAACACTATCAAACAAGAGAATATGCATTATGTCCATGTACTCCTGAAATATAAACATATGTGGATTCTCTGTAAATATAAAACAAATTTGAAAAAATTTAAAGAATTTGTATCATGAGACTGTGTTTTTTTGTTTTTTTGTTTTTTTTTTTTTACTTGAATTATAGCAAAGAAATGTCAATCCCAAAAAACCAAAGGTCAAGTGTTTTCTTTGATATGGGGATTCTGACTCATACATAATGTGATGGGCGGGGAGCATGGGAGGAATGGAGAAACTTTAGATAGGGCAAAGGGGAGTGAGCAAGGGAGGGGACAAGGGGGTAGGCATGATGGTGGAATGAGTTAGACATCATTACCCTAAGTACATGTATGAAGACACAAATGATGTGACAATACTTTGTGTACAATCAGTGACTTGAAAAATTGTGCTGTCTATGTGTAGTATGAAATGAATTACATTCTGCCATCATGTATAACAAATTAGAATAAATAATTTAATAAAAAATAAAAGGAAAATATACAAAGAAACAGAAATAAACAACAGCACTCATAAACAATCCATTTTTCAAAGAGAGATAGTTTAAGGGAAATTTTAAATAACATTGACCTAAAAAAGATAAAAATGCAGCAAACCATAATTTGTAGGGCACAACTAAATCAGTGTCAAGAGGGAAATTTAAAGCAGTAATGCACACATGAGAAAGGGGAAAATCTCAGATCAATTTGCCTCCTCACATAGATACAAAACATCTTTAAAAAACATTATCAAGTAGAATTCAGCTATATTTGAAAAGGAATTATGCATAAGGAATAAGCATATTTTACTTCTAAGATGCAAGGCTGATCCAATGTTTGAAAATCAAACCATAAAATTCATCAAATAACAGTTGTTAGAAGTCACACGATTTTACCAATCAATGTGGAAAAAGCATTTGAAAAAATGCAACATTCACTGATAATAAAAAACCTTCAGAAAAAAAAATTGGGATCAAGAGGAAACTTCGCAATAGGATAAAGAACATGTGCAAAAATTCCACAAGTAAAACTATCTTTAAAGGTCAGTGAATCCTTTCTCCCTAAGAACAGGAAGAAGGCAGAAGTGTCCATTCTCATCATTACTATTTTACATGGGACTACCTTTCTGTCCTGTATGGTAAAACAAGGTAAGAAAATAAAATACACATAGATCATTAAGGAAGAAATTGTTCATGTAGAAAATTTCAGGAAATCTACAAAAGTATTCCTGGTTCAAGAAAAATATTAAAAAAATGGATTGTATTTCTATATACTTGCAGTAAATACCAAGAACAAAATAAAACATGCAATAACATAATATTTAAATAAATATTTTGGTGAAAACACCTCATAATAAGTATGGGAGTTATATTCTTTTTTTTTTAAAGAGAGAGTGAGAGAGAGAGTGATAGAGAGAGAATTTTTTTTAATATTTATTTTTTAGTTTTCGGGGGACACAACATCTTTGTTTGTATGTGGTGCTGAGGATGGAACCCAGGCCGCACGCATGCCAGGTGAGCGCGCTACCGCTTGAGCCACATCCCCAGCCCAAGGGAGTTATATTCTTAAAACTACACAATCCTAATAAAACTAATCAAAGTTGTGAGTAAATAGACATATCTAGTTCATGATTTGGAAGTATAAGATAGTAAAGATGTTAATTCTCTAGAAATTAGTATACAGAATTAACAAAATTTCTATTAAAATCATCCAAAAAACTTCTTGACATCCATTAATAAAATATTCATCCAAACATTATAATATAATGATTATAATATGATTATAGATGTCGTTTCAAAGATAGAAACATTTCTAAGAATTTTACATAAATGAACACACTTAAATTATAATACAGATTTATAATTGGTAACAATAGTGTAGCTTTCATTTATATTGTTTCATAACAAATTCCTTGGAAAACAAGTGTTAGAAAATATATTGAAATGTGTGTGTTCCTTTTCCTTTCTTACCAATATTCCCCTTACATATTAAAATAATGAAGAAAAGTAGATATGCAAAATTATGCCCTTAGTTAACCAGAGGTCTTCCATATTTGTGGAAATTAATACCAATTTATGGGCAGCATTTATATAAAGAAAGAAAGAGAATTCTTAAACATAATGTAAAGTTTGTGGAGGAAAAAAATTATTCCAAAATTTAGAAAAATCTGAGTTTTAATAAATTTATGACATAAAATTAATATGTAATATTAAGTACGTTAAGTGATCAGAATTCTTCTTTCCAAAGATATTTGAAGTAACCATATGTAGATTAACTAATGATAGTATTTTACAGAGTGTAACATCAGATCATATTTTTAAATCCTCTGAGCTGACAAGTCTTATCCAATTTTATCTTTAATTGTGCCTACCCTCTTCTTCCCTCAAATTTCCTTTGTTTATGGAGAAAATCTAAGGAATTTACTTTCTAATTTGGGATTACATATGAATGTGAATTGCTATTTACCTGAAAATTTGAGAAACATTTACATTTTCTTAAAAAGTATTCTCTTTCCTTGTTTAATTTTGTTCAGTTTATTTTATGATACCAACTGGATAGTGATTCAGTTAAGATTTCAGATACAATGTCTTCATTACATTTAAACAAAAATTAAAATAAGCCATGTACAATTTCTGTGGTAGGGAATAAATTTGGAGAGAAGGACTATAAGCTGCTTGAGAACAAGTCCCATGAGTAATCATATTTACCCCAAACGCCCTTAACTGCACAATGACTTAGGGAGAAGGAATACTGTAGAGCAATCAACTAAGTTGTGACATTTGTTGCATATACCTTTACATTTCAGCATAAGTGATATAATTTCTTTCTTATTAATAAAATAGCACCATTAATGTTTTAAAACACATTGTTTCCTGAAGGGCTGATGTGGTGAGCCGCTTCTGCCGTTTCTGCAGATTATGGTCGCCATTACAAGATGACGCTGGCTCCGCTGTGGTCTGTGACAAACAACTCCTTATCTGGGAGAGGTGGCACATGATTTTTCACCACCCTGTGAGAAAGCTCCACGCGGCAGCTTTGCATTGGGGCTTGGGATGCTTTATTAAGGCTGGGAGGGGCATCCGAGAGAGAGAAGAAGAAATATCAAGGGCCTGAATAAACTGCTGAAAGAAGATTCCTGAGTTGCGTCTTCCTTGCGGGCAAGGGGTCGCGACAAGTGGTGCCGAGACCCGGGAACCAGAACTTTCAGCAGTCAGGGGTGGTGCACCGGTTAGTCCCAGGTAAGTGGGATCCGCGATCAAAGCGGGGTTAGTCCCTAGTAAGTGGGATCCGCGACCAAAGCGGGACAGCTCCTCTGTAATGAAAGAGAGAGCCTTACATTTTATTGCAGCTGCACTGTGTACTTTCGCTCCTACTTTCACTTTCTTTTTTTTGTGCTTCCTTTGTTGTTGTGTCATGGGTGCCGCATCTTCAAGTCCGCTTCTCCTGGCCCTAGATGGCCTGTTACGTTCCAAGGGACTGGAAGTGAAACATAGTACTTTACAGAGATTTTTACAGAAGATAGATATCGCTGCACCGTGGTTTGCATTTTCGGGCAGCCTTACTGTGCCTAGTTGGGATAAATTAGGCAAAGATCTTGACTTTGCTTCTGAGCAGGGCATATTAGAGGGTGGGGTGATCCCCCTTTGGAAAATGGTCCATGGTTGCCTTACAGATGGTAAATGCCAGGAAGCTGTGAGTGAGGGTCAAGCTATTCTTGAGCAATTGCATGAGGAAAAATCTGAAGGATCATGTAGTGAAGTGGCAGAGAGTATTAAAAGTAACAGTAGTGAGAAGGCAAAAGAGCCTGAAGATAAAAATAGGAGAAGGCTCTACCCAGACTTGACCGAATTAAAAACGCCTGAGAACACAAGTGACTCAGAGAGTTCTGAGGACCTTGATATATTGTTACAACAACTACATAAGATAAAAATGAAAAAGAAGAAAAAGGAGACACAGGGCACGCAGGCCTACTGTAAGAAGGGGAAGGGAGTTAACATCGGTCAACAAAACTCTGAGGAGGAGGAGGTAGAATATCTAGAAGAAGATATGGTGCCGATTGCCCCACCTCCGTATGTGGGGGGGAGCCAAGGTTCCGGGAGATCTTTTCATGCACAAGTTTGGAGGACAGTTAATACAGATATGGGACTTGCATACCCTGTATTTCAGGACAATAACAGGGGAAGATATCATGAGCCTTTAGACTTTAAGATAATTAAAACCTTGGCAGAATCTGTCCGAACTTATGGCATAGATGCCGCTTTCACTCTCACTCAGGTGGAGGGACTTACTAGATTTTGCATGACTCCCTCAGATTGGGCTAGTCTAGTCCGCGCTTGTGTTTCCCCAGGGAAATATTAGGAGTCCAAAGTTGGCTGTTTAATGTTTCTGGCAGTACCCAAGACTCGGAGCGAGGTAGGAGGCTTAAAATTTCTGCAAATAATTCACAATTATCTAATGCTACATTACCCTCCGCAGCAGTCCGTCTCCAATCTCCGTTCCTGTTTCTTTTGGCTAATGTTACATTACAGGGGATGCTTAATTGTTCTAATATTACCTGTTATTTGTCTGAGTGTTGGAATGGCTCCTGGACTATGGCAATGGTTATGAAATTTCCAACCTTTGTCCCGATCCCGGTTACTGCAGATCCAGAGTCTTTTCCTATTGTTGAACTGATTAGAGCCCGTAGAGATTTTGGAATTACGGCAGCTATAGTGACAGCTGTGGCGGTGTCTGCTGCTGCAGCAGTTACAGCTGGAGTAGCCATGGCCAGCCAGGTACAAACTGCTGCCACTATTAATCAGGTTATTCAACAAACATCCACCATACTTGAATCTCAAAGTAGAATTAATCAACACATTTTATCTGGGATTCTGGCTGCTAATCAAAGGATAGATCTACTTCAAGCTCAAGTTGAGGAATTGTCTGATCTAGTACATTTGGGTTGTATTGATCAATGTGCACATTTATGTATAACCTCTGTCAGATTTTATGATTCCAGAAATGCCTCCCGCATCATCGGGGAGTATCTATCCGGAACCTGGTCCATGGAAGCAGAAAACTTGATCCAGTCTCAACTAACTCAGATTGCTGTTTTGAACAGTACCCGTGTCGATCCCGTGACTTTGGGTCAGTTCACCGATTGGATATCTTCTGCTTTTTCCTTCTTCAAAGAGTGGGTGGGGGTAGGCATTTTTGGTGCAATGTGTTGCTTCGGTATGTTCCTCTGTTTGTGGTTTCTCTGTCGCCTTAAGGCCCACAGTGCTCACGATAAGGCTATGATCATACAAGCTCTTGCAGCTTTAGAAAATGGCAACTCACCTCAAGTCTGGCTTGCGCATCTTAAACAGTAAACCTTTGACATGGTCGTTACACCCCAAGTTATTATAACATTGCACTGGGATCGACATGACTTTCCTTGTTATTCTCTTAGTGTTGGAAAGTCCTTGCACTCTGCCGGTCTTCCTGCCATTGCACGCAGATGGGTTTCCACACTGGTGCTTTTCTATCGCCTTAAAGTCCGTGCCTTTCTTTCAGGGTGCTGTCAACTTGTTTGTCGTTATAAACAGCCACAGTTCAGCCTCAGCTATCCCCCTTCGTCCACCATCGTCACGATACAGGATGCGAGGCAAGGCACTGCACTTGAGTGATCCTTGACGTGGACCTCAAGGAGAGCATGTCCTATTGCATGCGGGTTAGACGCGTCCACGCCCCGCCCCACGAAAAAAGGCGTTGGCTGATATGGCCTCAGATCTGGGGAAGGGCCCTCCTTAGGACTGAGCCATACTATGCAGCCACTTCTGCACAGTGGGATAGGACCTCTACTCTCGCCTGTATTGTTTTAAGAAAACAGAAAAGGGGGAACTGTGGTGAGCCGCTTCTGCTGTTTCTGCAGATTATGGTCGCCATTACAAGATGGCGCTGGCTCCGCTGTGGTCTGTGACAAACAACTCCTTATCTGGGAGAGTTGGCACATGATTTTTCACCACCCTGTGAGAAAGCTCCACGCGGCAGCTTTGCATTGGGGCTTGGGATGCTTTATTAAGGCTGGGAGGGGCATCCGAGAGAGAGAAGAAGAAATATCAAGGGCCTGAATAAACTGTTGAAAGAAGATTCCTGAGTTGCGTCTTCCTTGCGGGCAAGGGGTCGCGACAGGCTGAACTATTATTAATATTATTTAAATAATTTTAAAACAATAATTTGTGAACAAATTCTGATGTATTAGAATCTATCTTTTGTTGCAAACCTTTTGAGTTTACACAAGTATATTCATATAAAAGGATTGATCAGGTACTTGTGTCTACTGCCTAGGTATTTATAAAATAGCCCAAGTTCTTAGCAGGTACCATCCTCCCAATTACTTAGGTAAAAATGAACCTGTTGTTCTGATAATTGCCCCAAATCAGGATGCATTCATCCATTTTCTAAAAATGGCATCTGTGTATTAGGGGACATGGAGTTGAGTACAATTGATTTAAATTATCAGGAGATCTGAAGGAAAGTTTTGATCACATGTCCAATTTCTTACATCATATTTGCACACTTTTCAAAAAGCCAAGTTGTTCCTGCCGCTTTCTTCAGCCAGAGTTGTATTATTCAATCCACAATCCCAACAGGTCAGTGTCTTAGTTTTCAGAATGTTATGAAGATAGAGAATATTTGTGCAAAGTAGTTATTGTTGCATCACACTGCTCTATAATAAATCCTGAATGACCTTTTGAAAAATAAGCTTTATCTATCTTGGGAGGTACTTTGAGAACATTAAGAGGAGTCAAGTGAAAATGTGCATTTTTTTTTTGTACTGGGGAATAAATCCAGGGCCACTTAACCACCGAGACCCATCTCAAGCTCTTTTTTTAATATTTCTATTTAGAGACTGTGTCTCAATGAATTGTTTAGGGCCTCTCTAAGTTGCTGAGGCTGGCTTTGAACTCAGGATCCTCCTGCCTCATCCTCCAGAGCCACTGGGATTACAGGTGTGGGCCACTGTACCTAGACTGTAAATATTTTTTTTTCCTGTGAAAGATAACTCTAGTCATTAACTTCTATAGTTTATCATCTTGCATATTTTATTCTCATATATAGATTTCATTATTTAACATATATTTTATTTTCTATAATTTACTATGTAACAATACATAAATGCATATACTTCTTTTGAATAATCAAAGCACTAATGAAGTTTATATAGTCAACTTGATTTTTTCCATTTTCCTCTCCCTCAAACTCCAATATACTTTCTGATAGGTAACTATTCTTTAAATATATTATCTCATTCCATAATATTATTTAAACATTTATAGATGTTCAAGTTTTCAATTTTGAAAACAAATAATATATCTCATTATCAGCATAACATTCAAAATATGTAACAATTGGTATGACACAGCCACCCACGCAAAAGGACACAAATGATAAACTTCAAGAAGAGCTATCATAGGGCATTAATTGAATATAGGGTTCCATTCTTAGTATGTTGAACATTTTCAAATACTGTGGTTATTACCTCTTCATTTGTGTTTTTCTATTGCTCTTTATCCCTAAAATGTCCTCTAAGTTTTTGTAATCAAAATGTAATTTCCAAAAAAATATATATTTATCTGAATAAGTTTAATTACTTTTTTTACTTTAGTCTATTATAGTCTCTTTGATCTGGCTAATCAAGTTCATCAAAATGGTACCATATGAATTTAAAGGTGCTATTAATTTATTTTTCTTCCCTATAGATATGGCTTTCTCAGCTAATTTCATTTGAATTCAATATTCTTTTCCCATTGCTTCAGATCTTTAAGTCTTCAATAAATTGGATTCTTCTAAAATTTTCTGGAAGATAAAGATGTAGTCTACCTAGGATCAGACTAAGCTTTATAATCCTTAACCTTCTTATCCATGTGTCATCTCAACTTGAGCAGAAGTTTAACATGATTTGCAGGGAAGAGTTTTGTCCTCTGTGATTAATTTAGCGGTGATCAGAAATTCTAATGTTTTGCAGAAGCAATCCACAGACCCATTAAAATAGCCTTCAGGGCCTGGGTTAAACTAGTCCTATTGTAGGCTTTATTTAAATAAATAGCTCACTTAATCAAATGATAGCTCCCCTGAAGAGCTCACTCATTGAATGAACCTTTTCCTCTTAGGATTCTCTTCGCTGCACCCAAATGTAATTTCTTTGCGAACTGCCTCTGGCAATATTTTTGTACTTTTGTCCTAATGTACAGATTTAAAATTTTTATTCATGCATCATTGTCTTAAGTGATTCCTTACTGAAGTGGTTCTTGTTGAGAAATATTTTACCCTATGGGAATCAACTCTCCTCTCTACCTAATTTTATTTACCTGGATTATCATTTTAAATAATTTAGACCAGGGCTCCTGCAAGTCCAATCTAGAGCAAATATTGCTTAAATATCTCCCAATTTTATTAAAAATTAGTCAGTGCACCTAGTTCAAGCTTGTAGATATTTCACTAAACATACCAAATAGCACCACTGGCTGCTCTAAAGGGATACACCTCAACATTAGTGAAGTCAAAACAAAGCAGGAGGCTCTTCAGCACTTCTCAGTCATCAGAAGAGTCACCCTGGAGCCAGAGTTTGCTTTTGTTTTTTCACTGTAGCAAGGACATTTAACATGATATTTATCTTTCTTTTTTAAAATCCGTGTTCAGTGTTGTCTTAATTTATGGGCTGGATGTTGTCCAGCAGATTTCTAGAATACATACATCTTGCATGACTAGATTTTATATCCATTGAATAGCAACTGCCAATTTTCTCCTCTCCATAGCCCCTGGATACCACCATTCTACTCTTTGATGTTATAAGTTTAAATATTTTAGATGCCTAAGAGGTGGGATTACTTCATCCTGAGTCTGTTCCCAAAAAAACTTCTTCTGTAGTTTGCTTCCCAATCAATAAAATAGTAACAATTTTCTATACTTTGCAGTGTTGCTGCAAGGACTCATTATACCCCAAATAGTACACATACTTGGTAAATGATTTTAGAAAGGTCATCTATTCATTTTTTCTTTCCTTCTTTTCTCTTTTACCATTTCTCTTTCTCTCTGTGTCTTAATCCCTGGCTCTTATTCTTTTCTTTCTGGCTCTTTCTCTCCATTTCCTCTTTCTTATAATAAAGAGGTATAACTTGGTTTCTGCTAGGTTTGAATATGTGTTTTCAGGCACATATGCAAGATAGAATGAAGTAAGAAGACTGCCATAATTGTCACAACCAAAAAATATAAACAGTTTAGCAAACTTCCCATCATATAGTAGTTGTTCAGTAAATACCGCTCTGTTCCAGGTCACCATATAAACAGAATCAAATCGACTAAAACTGTAGTTGATTTTGCTGTTGTTTTGACAGTTGTTATGCTTGTTCCATGTTGGAGGTTCTTAATTTTTTATTTGTTTGTTTGTGTTTTTCCATCAGAGAGTATCTTTTGGTTAGTCTATTTTTAAACAATTTCACTCTTGAATTTAGTTTGTATTTTAGTATAGGATGTGAAAAGTTATGCATAATTCTTCTCTCTCCTCTTTCTCTTTCTCTCTCCCTCTCCTTTCTTGCCATTGTATACAATGCTGTTTAACTCCCTCAAAACTTTTGTGAAAGTGAATTTGAAAGCTGGAGATGTAAGTTGCCACAGTCTGGCTGGGCACAAATGCCGCAGTCTGGCTGGGCACACAATCACGAGCCACCACACAGCTTGTAGATTCAAACAGCAACTCTTTATTCCCGAACTCACACCAGCCGTCTACAATCACGTTCTGGGGAAATCCACGTTCTCTGCCCAAATCCACGTTCTCTGCCCAAATCCACCTCCACTGGGCTTCTATCTCCAAAATATACTGTCTGAATCCCGTGAGAACTCAAGGGGAACTCAGGCAGCAGGATACGCCCTATTCCCAGCAGGAATAATCTTAAACCTTAAACATGGAACCTAAACCGGGAACGCCCTAATCCGCCTTGGTCCTTGAGCAAGGTCACCTACATTCAATGTCACTGCAACATGGGGTACGCTGGCAAGGAAATTGTCATACCTACTTGGCTAATGGCTCCCAGCATCTCCCCCCTTCTGATTAATTAAACAACAAGCAATGTGGCTTAAGGACCGTGCCTGGAAGGTTGTCCAATTCAACATATGGTTCTTACCCGTCATCGGAAAACTGACCTTTAGGCGTCAGCCTCCTGTCTTAGGTTGATACCACTGCAATTGAATCATACCCGTCACTGACTACCAGTCCAGCATACAGCCATACTTGTGGATAGGTCTATGCACCAGTGGGGGGGTGAGGTTCTTTGCCTCACCTCTGTTGGCCCCCAAATTTGGCCTTGGTGCCAGTGGGGGAGTGAGGTTAATATGTGGCATGACCAGAACTCCAGCCTACACCTGTCATCCACCTTGGAATTTTTACATAATGATATGATATTGTCTTTATTTGAGCATCCAGAGTGAAATGTTGCCACGTGAGTTATTTTCTTTCCTCAACCACCAATTCACTTTTCCTATTTATCAGGTATATTCAAAGGGAATTAGCTAACACATCAACCTAATCTTGTCCTTTTCTCTATTCATAACATCCATCCATGGCATCTCATTATTTATACATAAAGGCCAGTTTCCAAATCACTGATGTGTCACTTTATGAAAGTTTCCAACTCAAGAAAGTGTTCTTTGATTCATCCAGGTTTTGTGAGGTGCTCCAGAACAGAGCTCTCAGATCCTCAGCTTCTGTGATTGCATGTATTACACTGTATTATAATATTTGATATGCATGTTGGTTTTATATTATAGAATATGATCTACTTGAAATAAGAATTGTGGTTTATCTTCTCAGCACAGTGCCTACCTTAGAAGTGATGTTTAAAAAACAATCTTTTGATTAGAATGTAAGGCAATAAAAATAAATGTCTAATGGAGAAAAGCCCTACAAAATAAGAACTGTTGATCCCTTACGACTCCACATAAGAATGGTGAGAGACGTGACATTCCCTGGAATCTTTCTGCAAATATGGAAGTCACTCTAATTCTCTGATCTGAGTCTGCCTCTATCAGTCACTTAGACCTTGATGTTTTTAATTCAAAAAATGGATGATGAAAAACATGG